TCTTACTTTGATATTCTTTTAAATGTCAAGTATCATTTTTCAAAACTGATTTTAATAAAAACAGATATTATACTGTTTATTTAAAATATTTTGAACCAAGCTTAACTTAGCTTCTGCGCCGAAAAAAATGTAATTTGAAAATAAAACAAAAGCAGGTCATAACCTTTCGCGTCGCTTGACGATTGACGAAAGGCACATTCATGACGTTTAGATAACTTACGGGAGGAGAATTCTTTCTACGGATGGAAGGAAGTGAAATTATTTAAGTGAACAAATTATTTACCTTGTTACTTTTAAGGAAAACTTTCAGCGCTCTAATTTTTTTTTTTTTTTTTTTTTTTTTTGTACTTAGCTTTCATTTTTACGTTTATGATGCTTTATGGAAAATATAAAGAAATTAAAAAATAAGACTGTTAATAGTGAGATTAAATTTCATAAGAAAAAAGGTATCTAATTAATTTAGGTACCTTTCTTATGAAATTTTATCAGAAGTGTACATAAAATACTATAATTTTATGTACATTTATTACATTTTACTGTGTTATTTGTATTTCCATTCATTTTATTATTAATTTTGATATTTCATTTATGGAAAAATGTCATAACTGAGATTAATATAAAAATAAGATCATATAAATTAAAGTTTAGCAGTAGTTAAATTTCATAAGATGATACTGTTACTTGTAGGTACCCTTCTCAGTTGAAATTGAAAACTCAAATTAACTTCTCCATACGTGTTTCGCAAAAGTAAAGGGCTTAACAGCGGAGAACAATGCTGAACTCAAATAATGCAACTAAATTGTATTCTGGTTGGTCTTCCGTACTTGATAATTACTGTCCGACTATAAACACAAAAATTACATTTCTTAATTACCATGGCTAATCTGATTGGTCCAAATTATACAATTTTCAAAGCGCTAGACAATGACAATCTCACACGGACATTTTGAAAGGTTGATGTTGCTTTTAACTAATGTTAAAATATTTTTTAAAATTCAATTTAAACATTTTTTTAAAAATCTTTTTAAAATTAAAGAAATAAGAAATAATTGTATTAAAAATTCAATTTTCATTGAAAAAATTTTTTGCTTTCAGAAAATATTGTCCATATTCATAAAAAAAACAAATTAAAACAAATAAAAGCATTTGAAACTAAATAATATATTTGTTTTATTGAGTTTTGTATGTTACAATTCACAGCTGATTTTCAGGTACGTTGGCCAAAAAAAAAAAAAAAAAAAAAAAAAAACATGATTTGCATTCTTCAAAGCCTTGTGCTTTTTTTAACTATTGTAATCACTAAAACCGATGGTCTCGAATTTCTAGAGTTTTTCATAAAATTAGTTATGGGGGTGTTAATAAATATAAAAAAAATATTTCTGCCATGACTTTAATAAAAAAAAATATTTATAATAATTTCGATCATCTGTGAATAGTTTCTGAAAGTTTCATTAACATCTGACAATTATTTTTATTTTTGCAAGATTTTCCAAATTAATGTGTGTAAATACAAAAAAAAACGCGCTAAAAATTATCTATGTTATTTACTACCCCTTGTTGCGACAAAGAGAAACAAAGTTTTTTAAATCAAAATTTAGAATATTCTAAAAAGATGGAAAAATTTTTAAAAATAATTAAAAAAAAATTTAGTCTATCCTCTTCATAAAAAAATAAGCATTTTGACGATAAAATTTTGTTTTCATAAACTTTGGCGTCTTTTTCATCAGACTATGCTCTATGTTTTAGCGATTCCGTGGAGTGACTTAGGTTAAAAAACCCAGGTTGTTTGTGTGTGTGTGTGTGTGTGTGTGTGTGTGTGTTTTGTGTTCCTTAATATGGGATCGGATTTCTTACATTTTTCAGCCGATAAAACAAACATCCACTTTTTTTTTTTTCGGCAGGTAGTATTTCTTATTGTCTTGCACACTTTTTTCTTTATTTACATTCAGAATGCTTTAAAAATTCCATTTACAAGACAATTGTTTATAATAAAATTCTATTCACCAATCGATAGACTCATAACGATTGTAAACAATGTTTTTGTTTGAATTTGGGTTTGACCAATTCGAAAAAAAAAAAAAAAAAAAAATAATTAAGACATGCGTGTCCGTCAACCTTAAACAATAATCTTTGTCAATTTTATTTTTCAGTCTTTATGATGGTCGATACTTGATCTATCTCTTACTGTTACATCCCAGGCAACGCCGGGCTCTACTACTAGTATATATATATATATATATATATATATATATATATAGATATATATATATATATGTATTTAAAAGTTATATAGACAGAAATTATTAATTAAATAATTAAAATAAATATATAGACATTTTTTTGAAAAATATAGATAGATAGATAGATAATTAATATATATAATATATATTTGTTAATAAATTAGACATAAAATTTTTAAAAATTTAAAAAAGAAAAACTAAAAAAAATATGAAACTGAAATGAATTTGAACATATATAAAAAATGCACAGGCATTATAAATACATAAATATATATTCATACATGCAAAAACCATACCATATATGTATGTAAAAGAAGACTAGAGTTACAGCCATTTTGAGATGCAGCACGTGTATTTTTTTAGATAGTGTTTAAAATGCTATCTGCATTTTTTTTTTTATTTTTAGAATTCAATAAACATATATATATATATATATATATAATATATATATTTTAAAGGAATAAATTGCAAAAGAAACGAAAAATTGATGCGAACCTCATATTGTAACCAAAAATTAAGCATTTGAACATTCAAATTCACTTGTATAAAAAAAAAAAAAAAAATTAAGCATTTTTTTTGAAAGGCTTAGATAATAAATGATTATTTTTCGAACGAATTCATAGAATGTTGAATTTCAAAGGAATCCAAACATAGTCACATACATAAATTTTTTATATATATATATATATATATATATATATATATATATATATATATATATATATATATATAAGATATAACAATTATATAAATATTACGAAGATATAGGATATAAAATAAATTTTATTATTCGTATATTTTTATATGATCTGTTTTTAAATCATCTTAATAACTATTTATTTTCAAACGGATGTCTTTTTTTGAAAGAAAATTAATTCAGTAATTTTTTAAAAATTGTAAAAATAAGGAAAACTCGAAATTAAGAAAAGAAAATTGTTTTTTTTTCTTCATGAAAAACTTTGCATTAATACAGAAAATTTATTTAAAATTTTTTTTTCGCCTATATATTAATTTCTCAGATAAAAAAAATGCAATGTAATGGAATCATTTTTTTTAATTGTTATAAATTTGAAATAAATGAAAATAAAAGAAATTTATGATTTTTTAGAAAAAAATATAAAACGTTCTTATTTTTTAAAAAATTTATCAACGACCAAATTTTAAATCTTTTAAACATTTAATGAAATACATAAACCCACAATGCACACACACAAATAATTTTTTTAAAACACACAAAAAACTGTTTTAAAACAATAAATATGGAATTTATACACACAAAATGTTCTCACACATATTCAAATAAAAAAATAATTTTACATATAAAACATAAATATATATAATATATATATATATATATATTTCTTAAATCTATATCAGTTTATATAAAAAATTTAAAATCATTTCCGTCGATTCACTTTATTTTTTTCAGTATTTATTTTTCTCTTTTTTTTTATTTTATCAATCTATGATAAAGTAATCTTTCATTTTATTACATTATATATATATATATATATATATATATATATATATATATATATGAATGTATGTTTTGTTTAAAGAACGAGAATAAATTCTATAAAAATGTAAATAGACATATAGTTATATATTTAGTAGACGAAAATAAAAATAAAATTTTGCATTTCAATCAACTATTGCGCAATTGAAAAACAAAATAAACATATTGAAAAATCAAAATAAAATCCGCCATGTTCTATTCTTTGCCGCCATTGTTTTTAGCAGCTGTTCGGTTCCTCGCCAAAACCTATATTTTCGTTCAGTAGCAAAATCCTCCATTTTAAATGTTTCTCTGTGAAAGGTCTTTAAAATTTACAAAACAATTGGTTCGTATTGTCAACAAAAATAAATTAACCTTTTGGAAAATTTGTTAAAAAAAATTTAAAAAAAAAAAATCTTTGAAAATACTTTAGGTCATTATACGTTGAAAAAAAATACATGAACCACATATTTTCGTGACGTTTTGGCAACTGCCTACTCGTTTGACACGTTGGAACACAGCAGTGTTCGGCAACTGATGGAGCAGAGGATGGTAAATGATTTTTAACTCAGTCTTAATTGCCTAGTGTTTTTTTTAATGACCAGTAGAATTTGCCTGTTTAAAACTGCCACGCACGTCTCCAAAAAAGGAATAAAATAATAAGAATAAAGTGGTCCTTGATCGGATTTGGAAATTTCCGTTTGTGGGATTAAAAAAGTTGGTTCAAAAGTCATCAAGACATTTGAATATTTAATGACTCATTTTTTTTAATATAATAATATAAAATATAATATATAATATATCTATATAATATGATGGATGATACAAACATAATTTTAATGTATGCCATCTTTAAAATAGGAAAAGTGCTGAAAAAAAAGGATAGAGCGTTTAAATGTAAAAATATAAAAGTTCAACAAAATTAGCGGCGATTTAGTCTGTTTCATGCGTAAACGATATATTTATGACCAGAAGACTGCGTTCAAGCATGACATAAACTGTTGACGCTCGGTGTTGTCCAATGCACTTTTATATACATAAGTGTTAAAATTATTGTGTCAATTTTTTATTTTTGAGACCAAAAAAAAATATATATATATATATATATATATATATATATATATATATATTTATATAAAGAAAATATATTAAAAAGAAAAAAAATTAATATGGAAGAATAAAAAATGGAAAAAAAGAAATGGAAAATATGAATCATGGGAAAGACAAAAAATGTTTGTAATAAAAAAAAACTCAATCTTCGAAGATTAATCCAATGTAAGCTGATAGATAGATGATATGAACAGAATGGGATAGATAGATAGATAGATAGATAGATAGATAGATATGAACAGAATTAAATAGATACATATGAACAGAGTTAGAAAGATAGATAGGAACATAATGATGGGATAGATAGATGGATAGATATGAAAAGAATATAGATAGATCTGAAAAAAATAGGAACAAAATGTGATAGATAGATTGATAGATTGATAGATGTCTGTAAACAGAATGAGATATATAGATATGAACATAATTAGATAGATAGATATGAATATAATGAGATAGATATGAACAGAATTATATTCATAAATATGATCAAAATTGGATAGATAGATAGATAGATAGATATGAACATCCTAAGATGGATAGATAATGAAGAGACTGAGATAGATAGATAGATAGATAGATAGATAGATAGATAGATAGATAGATATGAATATAATGAGATAGATATGAACAGAATTATATTCATAAATATCAAAATTAGATAGATAGATAGATAGATAGATAGATAGATATGAACTTGATTCAATAGATAGATAGATAGATAGATATGAACTTAATACAATAGATAGATAGATAGAAAGATAGATAGATAGATAGATAGATAGATAGATAGATAGATGTAACAAGCCGTTAGCACATTTTCTCTCTGTTCCCTATTTCTAAACTCGCTCGGCGTCGTTTCGTTTCCCACGGTTGCTTTCATCGGGGCAGAAGGTTGCAGTAAAGTGTTCATTACACTCCAGCAGCCCTCAGAAAATCGACTCTGCAGTCGGTGTGGGGAAAAAAAAACGGTAATAAAAACAACAGAACGGAAGCGGCCTATCATATCGGAAATAATAAAAGCGCATGCGTGCTAGATTTCAAGAATGCAGTCCTGAATCTTTACATGCTTGGCACCATTATTTTTCATTCTTATTTGTTTTAATTTTTATGTTTCTTTGTTTATTTAGCCACGTTTTGAGTGATTTTTATCTCTCCCTCTCACTACGTCTCCATGTTTTTTTTTGTTTTGTTCAGCTATCTATCCAGCAATCCGTTCCTTTTTTCGTTATTTCTTTGAAAAATCCTCCAAGCAAATGAGTAAGTATAAGGAACCTGTTTTCTTGTTCGCTGGGCGAAAAGCAATATATGGATTGCAGATTTGAAATTATTTGTTAAAAATCTTAGGAAACATGCAAGAAACGAAAGTAAAGGGAACAAAATGAACTAAAGGAAGGAAGGAAAGAAAGAAGGAAGGAAAGAAGGAGGAAAAAGAGAAAGGCCAATGATATTAGATTGGAGGCAAAAGGAGTACAGATGTATTGACAAAGAAAGAAAGAAAGAAACAAAGAAATAAGAAAAAACATATGGATAAAACGAAAGGGAAACTAAAGAGAGGGAAAAAGAAAGGATGTATTTTAAGGCATAGAAATCAGTAAATAAATAAATGAAGAAAGAAAAAGAATGGAAATCAGTAGTAGTAGCAGCAGTAGTAGTAGAAGAAGAAGAAGAAGAAGAAGAAGAAGAAGAAGAAGAAGGAAATGGTGCTGATTTAAGGATAAACAAAAGCAAACTAAGTGGAAAATAGTATTGGAAGGGAGGTATGAAGGAGGGAGGAAGGGAGGAAGGATGAAGGAAGGGAAAAGTAAAGCAAGGAAGGGAGGAAAGAAGGAAGGGAAGGGAGGAGGGAGGAAGGAAGGAAGAAAGAAAGGAGAAAGAAAGGAAGGAAAGAAAAAGGAGGGAAGGAGGAAGGAAGGGAAGGATTTAAAAGAAAGGAAGGAAGGAAGGAAGGAAGAAAAGAAAGAAAGGAAGGAAGGAAGGAAAAAAAAAGGAAGGAAGGAAAAAAGGAAGGAAAGGAAGGAAGGAAGGAAGGAAGGAAAGGAAGGAAAGAAGGAAGGAAAGGAAGGAAGGAAGGAAAGGAAGGAAGGAAGGAAAAAAAGAAGGAGGAAGGAAAGGAAAAAAGGAAGGAAAAAAAGAAAAGAAGGGAAAAAAAGAAAGGAAAGAAAGAAAAGGAAGGAAGGAAGGAAAAAAAGGAAGAAAAAGGAAAAAAGAAAAGAAAGGAAGGAAAGAAAGAAAGGAAAAAAGGAAAAAGAAGGAAAGGAAAAAAAAAGGAAAAAAAAGAAAGGAAAGGAAGAAAGAAAAGGAAGGAAAAAAAGAAAAAACAAAAGAAAAAAAAAAGGGAAAAAAAAGAAAGGAAAGAAAGAAAAAGGGAAAAAAGGAAAGGGAGGAAGGAAAAAGGAAAAAGGAAGGAAAGAAAGGAAAGAAGGAAAGAAAAAAAGGAAAAGAAAAAGGAAGGAAAAGGAAAGAAAGAAAAAAGAAGGAAGGAAAAAGAAAAGGAAGGAAGGAAGGAAGGAAAGAAAAGGAAGGAAGTGACAGAATGGAAAAAGAGAAAAGGGATAAAAAAAAAAAATTGAAAGTGGAAGTAAGGACAGAACAAAAAAAAAAGGAAAAAAAAAAGAAAGAAAAAAAAGAAAAAAAAATGAAGACGAAAAAAAAGAATGAAAAAAAAAAAGAAAAGGAAGGAAAGACGAAGAAGTGATAGAAAGTAAGAGAAAGAAAACAAAAACAGATAAATAGAAGGTGCAACTGATAAAAGAAAGAAAGAAAAAAACGAGTCAAAGAGAGACATGAAATTCACGGTTAAAAATATAGAGATAGTTTTTTATGAATTCTTTACGGAGAATAAAAAAAAAAAACGTCGAAAGAGAACGATTGTAATGAAGAAAAGAGAAAAAAAGAAAGAAAAAGGAAAAAAAGAAAAAAAAAAAGAGAGAGAGAAGGAAAAAGGGGAGATGAAGGGAGAGAAAGTGGGATGAAGGGAGTTATAAAAAGACAAAATGGAGAATAACAGGAAGATGGGAAATTTGAAAAAAGAAAAAAAAGCAAACTGGAAGAAGATAATAAAAAGTAAACTAAAAAAAAAAAGTCAAACGAAGGAAATAATACGAATGAAAAACATGAAGGGAAGCAGACGGACAAGAAGGAAAGCTAAGAAAACTAAAGGACTCGCTTGGCTTTACGAATATTATGGAGCAGAAAACACGAAACAGAAAGACAGCAATAAAACTGAGAACGAGTAAATATTTGGCATTGACATGTTTTACGATATTTTTGCTGTAGGAAAGCATAAAGCGGATCTTTTTATTCAAAAAACAAAAAAAATAAACCAACATGGACGAAGAATAAAAAAAATGCTTATTTTTCGAGGAAAGATGATTGAAGAAAACTCACATTACGGAATCAGCTTACAAAAAAAAAAAAAAAAAAAAATCATACGGAAGCTCGTAAAGGTATTAACAAATACAATGATACCTTAAAAAATAAAAAAAAAAAAAAAAAAAAGACAGTCCAAATAAAACAGTATAAGTCACTTCGAGGAAAATATTTCCCTATCCCGTCTCAACGAATATGAAAAAAAGGAAATCTCCTGAGGCCATTTTTGTATGATGAACAAAGATATGTCTTACGAGAAAATAGAATATTTCTTCCACTTGTGAAAAAAATAATTACAGGAGAACCTCTGTTCACGAATTTAATTCGTTCCTGAAGCCAGTTCGTAACCCGAAATGTTCGTAAACCGAAACTATTTTATCAATAGTAATCAATGTAGAGAAAAAGTTACAGTACAATAAAATTGGGAAAAAAAGTATAACACAACGCGTGAATGTATACAACACGACGGTCAACTCAGAAATTATTCCGGTTGTAATGTTGTTCAGGAAGCGAAATTTTGTTCGATAACCGAGGTATTTTTAATCACGAATTTTCTGTTCGAAAACCAATTTGTTCGACATGTGAGACGTTCAAGAACCGAGCTTGCACTGTATTTTATATCTTATCTGCTTCTCGTTACCCCCTGATGTCCATATGTTTAGATTTTAGAGCTGTGGGCTTCGGAATACAGGTACCGTAAATTTAGATGTGCGTTTCGTTTAAAAGACAATGGCTCGAAATTTTTAATCGAATTCCAGTCGGTCTTGTATTCACTTACGCGCAAATGCCCTCCAGAAAGGAATGAATCCACTTCTTCTCCCTCCAGCTATGGGTTAACTAGTAAGATATGTATGACTAAAAAATTATATATAAAAAAAAGTCGTTCAGTCAAAAAAATCAGGGTCAGGGTGGACCTGGGAACAGGAGCAATTAAGAGGTATAAAAGAAAACGCTCTTCAAATCCTCCTGGCCTTCCTGTTAGATGTAGTTTATAGTCTTACCCAGGACGCGGATGTAGATTATCGTCTTACCCAGGAATCGGATGTAGTTTATCGTCTTATCCAGGACGCGGATGTAGTTTATCGTCTTACCCAGGACGCGGATGTAGTTTATTGTCAAAACCAGGACGGTGCAGTTAATGTAGTGGATAACGACTCCGAATGAGAAATAGGAGAGTCGAGTTCGAATTCCACTCGGTTGCGTTACATTCATTTACGAGTAAGTACTCTTGGGAAGGGTTTAAATATATATCTGTTCTCCTAGCAATGGGATAAAATAGTAAGACTTGTACAAAAAATAATTATTATCTCCAAAACAGTCTTATAATCTAAAAATATGCATCAGTTTTAAATTATATTGAAGCTAGCGTGATTTGGTGGCACCAACGTTGGTAGGGGCAGAAGGTAGAGTAAAATCTGTCCGGCCGAATGGTGAGGGGTCATGCTAGGACTACCATACGGACCTTTCTTTCGTATAAAGTTTTACATTTATAAATGTCAATGTTCAATATCCTCTTTGAAAACATAGTTTACCGCGAAGGAAAAAAAATCTTTTTTAAATGCAAAAGCACTGATTGACAATTAAAATTAAATTACCAAAAAAAGTAATATATGCAGACGTATCTTCATAAGCGCATATATATATATATATATATATATATATATATATATATATATATATATATTGATTTATCATATGGCTTAAACATATAAATTGAATCTATTTAGAGATTTAATTATTTCAAGAATTATATTTAGAAGTTTTTAAAATTATATGTCTGTAAATTAATACAATTCACTAATCATCTGAAGAATATTACTGTTGTTAAGTAATAAAACTGTGGGGTCTGTTTTCCTGGCCTGTCGTTGAATAAATAATAAATAAATGAATAGATATATATATATATATATATATATATATATATATATATATATATATATATGTATATGTGTGTGTGTGTTGTGTAATTTATAATAATAGGTATATAATCGAAATGAAAAATATTATTAAAAATTGACACACATAAAGAAATCTCAATATATTTATTATAACCGAACATATATAAATAGATAAATAACAAAAACAGAAATTCAAATTTACCCCGATTTGAATAGCTTTTTTTTTATATTTCACTTATATATTGTTTTAATTTAATTTATTTATTGGTTTATATTTGTTACGTATTACTTTATATTTAAGATATAATATTTAATATATAATTATTTGAATTTTATAACTTGAATTTGAAAATTATTTCTTTTATTTTAATTAACATATTATTGTTCTTAAATATTCAACGTGCAAATTTAAATTCAAATCTTTTTGAAGATATTCTGCCTTATTTACGTACACACACAAACAAACAAAAAAATAGAAAATTATATATATATATATATATATATATATATATATATATATATGTGTGTGTGTGTATGCTCAAAATTCGTAGGTTCAGCACTCTAGAAAAAAGGAAATTTTTTCGTCTACTACTGATTATTGGTAAAAGCTCTTTTGAATTGATCCCGTTAATATTTATATCTCTTATACAATGTTAAAATCCCTTTCTTCGTATTTTGGACTGATTGTGGAAGGGTGATTCTAAATGAGGTCAAAATCGTTACTAGGCAATCGCATGAATAACACTGATAAGTTATGACTGATGAAAAACAGTTATGGATAAACAGTATAAACAGTCTGTGGATAATTTATACACAAACACACACACACACACAGAATATATATATATATATATATATATATATATATATATATATGCAAATATATAGAAAATAGGAAAGAACTCGTTAGGTAAATAATCCGAAGTTCTTCAGTATTTTTGTTTTTATTTTTTTAAAAAAGTGCTCGATACAAAAGTAGAGCCTAAATTATAATTATTTTGAAAAATATGATTCTTTCGCTACATAAGAGTTCTCATGTTTCAAAAACAAAACCTGAAAACTTCAATATAATAGTTAGAATTACATTGAATTAAAGTACCAAACTTTGTTCCATCTTCAAGCGAAATTTTTGGCATAACTAATCTTGAAACATACCCATATAAAAATTCGAGGTTAGTTAGGTACAGATACACATACATGCATTCGAGCATATATATATATATATATATATATATATATATATATATATATATATATATATATATATATTGCAATTGTCATTCTATTTCGGTGTCGAGACTGTGGTGTTTATTTACGTAACGATGTTATCTCAACAACGAACAAATGTCGGCGGTCTTGTGAACATTTCAGATTCGCCGTCTGCGCCGTCAAACAAACTTACACTGCCTCACACACATATAGACGTGCACATACATACCCATTGTTTTGGGTTAAAAACTACTTTGGTTAAGTTGGGTTCTGTTTAATCAAGCACAAATAAACACAAATAGATCCATTTTTCAAAAATGAACCAGTTTCTTTGATGAACGCAAAAGCATGAAACCCAGGATATATCCCGTGTTCCTGTATATCCATACAACTAAATATGGTATCCCTATCAATGATATTGAGCAAAAGAATTAAGATGCTTTGAATATTATATATATATATATATATATATATATATATATATATATATATAAACAAATTATTTACGAATTTAAATGCCCATTAAAGAATTGTATTCCTGATCAATCAAAATTCGTAAATAATTATATACGCCATACTACAACATGTTTGACACGCAAACTCACTCTACACCTTTTTGACCATAGGTCAATTAGATCTCATTTAAATATTCATGGAGACCTACCGGACACTATTCGTAACATTCTTGTTGACAACACTAATATAATAGCATCATCTACACAAAAAAAAAAAGGCTAAAAATAATGGAAGCCTTATTAATAAAAAAAAAAAAAACAACACTTAATAATATTAACTTTGAACATGGACACAATATCTTGACCGTGTTTTGAAAAAAAAAAACATTTTATAAAAACATACATACAACAAACTATTTCTTATTTAACAGTTAAAATATTTAATCCTTGAAAATGGCTAAATGTATAGCCGAAAGCGCTCGGATAAAAAGAACATTGGACAGTTTTATATCATCGAAAAAGAAGAAAATTTTTTATATAATTTATCAAAATTAAAAAAAAAAAAAATTATTAGATCGCATGAGAAATTTGTAAAAAAAAACTAAATAAAAGCATATATATATATATATATATATATATTCAATGAAATAAAATAAAATTTAAAAAAAAAAAAATAAAAAAATAAATAAATCTCCATAGACACGTAAGCCAGACTAAAACATTACATAACTATTTTGAACAATATGTTACCATGGAAATTTTGATTTCAATTATGAATATACTATTAAAACACGTAAATTTCAGAAATAAGTTATTTCAAAAAAAAAAATTTTGCTTGAAGATGGAACAGATCT